ATTAGTGGTATATATTCAATGCATTGAATTATTTTTTCCATGAAAATTTCACAAGATGTGGTTTCCCCCTTCCGTACGTGCTACAGTGGGCTAAATATCAGTTAAACAAATGAAAAACAAAAAGCATTCGTACAGCAGAAAATAAAATTCACCCCGTCGACTTGATGGACACCCCAGCATTGCAATAAAAACTTGGTTAATAAAAAAAACTTTACTACTTTAGTCAATCCTCTTTGGAATACCTCCTCTGATCTCCTGTTCGCCTGATATTTTTTCGAAAATTTTGAATTTGAAAATTTTTAAAATAGGATCGTTAAAAAAATGATTAAAAATGCAATGAATGAGAAAAATACATTTGATATCAATTTAATTGAAAACGACAGATTATTTTTTAATTAGAAACACGTACTTCATTCGGTTTACAATTTTTACCTTCAATAATGACTTGAGTGGAAAAGTACTTCACAATCTGCAAATGCGCGAATCATTTGAATGCTGAGATTCTAAAAACAATGTTCTAGGAAAGTCTGTGTTTGTGGGTTTTTCCTTATCTCTAGAATCTGAAACCAATATTTCTCTGAAATAAGGCAACAATACGGTGACTTTTTCCTGGTACATAATCGATCTAAGATTGTCATCGAAATGTTTGAAGATTACAGAAGGAAATATTGCGTAGTCCCGTAATATAAAAGACGACAAGAATCACGGATTGTCAACCAGTTCATCAAGAGACCTGCTAAGATTTACAAACCTCAAGGTATAACTTTCACTAATTAAATATTAACGAGTATTTGCTAATTGTAATTCGTTTTTGGAAAATTTTGGTATGATAATGATTATAATAATTTTTTCAAAAAATCTGTTTCGATTGCTTTTCAGATGAAATTCCTGTATCTTCTCGTTGCTGTCATGATGCTGGTGGCTATGGGCGCCAACAGGGTTGATGCTGATTGCAAATCCGGAAAATATAAGGGCCCCTGTGCTGTTTGGGATAACGAAGCATGCCGGCGTATTTGCAAAGAAGAGGGACGAGTGTCTGGACATTGCAGCGCACGTTTGGCGTGCTGGTGTGAAGGCTGTTAATAATCCCTTGAAAGCCATCCATGTCTGAAAAATATTGACTGAATAATCAGGTTGAAGAATAAAAATTATAAATTCAACATTAATCTGAGGAATTTTTAATAATTCCCAATCCTCCAGTACACGGAAAAAAAAATGATCGAAAATTCCATTTCCAAAAATCATTAAGGACTGGTTCAAAATTAATTTTAATTATTTCCATAGAATGTCTAATTATTTCTAATTTCCGTATATGAAAAGGAATTTACCTAGTTGGCAGAGGGTAACTTACCCCACGAGTTCTAAACGCCTGAAAATCTCAGGAGATGGCGCTTCCTTGTACGATAATATTGTTCCAAGTTCTAACCTAAATAACGTCAATTAAAAAACGTGTTGCTCCGAAATTTAATCAGCAATACTCCAAAATCCTGACAAGAGTTCAATACTTCCGCGATATTCAAAAAAGTCTACGAAATTTCGAGTTGATTTCCCCAAGTTTTCAAAAGCTGACACTCGGGAATTCCCCTATTAATGAAAAATGAGTATCTACACGAGTGCATAATATTCTCCTGATTAATTTCAATTGTCCAGTATAGCGGTAAAAAATCGAGATGTTGTTTACTTTGAGATTGACAGTGAAATGTTTGCAATGTCCTCTGAGAGGATTGAGCTCTCGAGGACTGACACAAGTGCAGCAATATTCGAATATTGCTCACCGTCGGCCAGTGCGAATCGTTAACGAGGAGGAGATCCTCGAGAAAATCGAGGAAGCTAAAGGGCCGAATGAATTTCTCGACGTGGAGAAGAGGAAGCCCTTAAAAGTCAGACCTAAGAAGAATAAGCCCAAAAAGAAAATCGTTGTCACTGAGGCTGACACTCGTTTGAGAGAAGACGGTCTTCTAAATTTCTCAGAGCTGAAAGAAAACGATCCCCTGTTGATGTAAGTATCTCCGACTCGCCCTTGGAATTTAATTTCCATGAAAAAAATCAATATCGATAATTCCAAGGGAGCTGGGAAAATTTTTTGAGCTCTTGTAATTTTTTGTAAAAATTTCGTATTGCTCAGAGATTCAGAGATATTCATTGAAATTCGTTGGGATTAAAAATTATTTAGACAATGCAATCGATGAGATAACTTTTGAAGCCTTGGTTTTCCCAGGAAGCTGATGATGTCCGTTAGATCCAGAAAGACTAGGGATAGAAACAGTAGAATAATCCTGGAAGGCCACAGATTAATAACGGATGCCCTCCACGCGGGCAGTATCCCCGAAGTGGTAGTTTTTAGCAGAGTTGCAGATGCTCTGAAGCTGCCACTTCCAGATGTGGGAATTAAATTATATAAAACACCATATAGAGCTATACAGACGTGGACGACGTTGACCACTTCTCCGGGACTTATGGGTGAGAGAAATTATATGTCTCACAATTTAATGTGCCATCAGTACAATTAATCTGGAAAGTAAATTCCAATAACATGAAACCGAATTTCTCCTCCAGCGTTTTTCAAAACCCCAGACACAGAGAGCATCAAGCCCTCCCCCGAGGCCCTGCCCCTGACAATAGTCTGTGACAACGTCAGAGAACCAGGAAATCTCGGTGCGATCCTCAGAGCCTGTGCGGCCGTGGGCTGCAAGCAATTAATCCTCGTCAAAGGTAAAAAAAAAACCTGAGGATCAAATAATAAAATCCAGAAAATTCCACACTATCCAAAATTACTGATTTATCTCAGAAACTACCTGATGAAATCCTCCTCCTCCTCCTCGAGTCAATTAAGAAATTTTCAGTTAAACGCTCATCCTCAATAAATTCTAGGCTGTGTTGATCTTTGGGATGCAAAAGTGCTGCGAAGTGCAGCAGGTGCGCACTTCCGCGTTCCCATATTTGGGACGAGAACTTGGAAGGAAATTCGAAGGATGATCGACCCTTCAGCCACCGTCTGGGTTGCCGACAACAATGCACTTGTAACCGAGGAAATTGAGGCAGAATCTCTGGATGAAACTAAGGAGGAACTACCGGATGGCATAGAGGGTGAAGTAGTTTCTCCCCAGAAGGATACGACAGTGCCCCTTGAGGATTACGAGGCCCAGGACAACCTATTCAAGGCAGTCGTCGATTCTGCGGAATTCAAGAATTACAGACAACGCCAGTATGACGCAAACCTGGCAAAAAAATTGATCTCGACAATTCCCATCATCCCGTATTACTCGACAAATTACCCCAACGCTGAGAATATACTGATTGTGGGTGGCGAGAGTGAGGGAGTGAGTCTCGAAGCCCTTGCCCTCGTTCACGAGAGGAATGGTGTACGACTTAATATTCCGATGACTAATGGCGTTGAAAGCCTCAACACAGGCATGGCACTTGGTATCATTGCCTTTGAGCTGAAACGACAGTTTTCTGTGAAAAAAACGTCAGAGTGCAACGATGAAATCCACTTAAATGAATAAACACAGTCCGACAGAGAATAATTTTGTCGTCTTATAATTTCGCTGGGAATGATTTAAGTGAGATAACTTTAATGATACTTGTTCAATATCAATTAATCTCGGGAAATTCTCCTCAAAAGAAAAACTTGCGAGATATATTTATGATCGGAAGAATGGTCAACCAATTTATCTAATTTTATCACAAAAATCCTTCACTGAATACCCCAAAACAAATGAGATAATTGTTTTTATGATCGACGAGCCAAAGAGATATTTATCGGAATAAAAAATGTTCTTGATTCATACTAATCTCTTATCATGGATGGAGATTGATTGCCTTTTGGGTAAAAGCCCCTGTAAATCAGTCAATTGAAATTGCATTAGAGTCCGGAGATGATTGATTCAGGTTTAATACAGTAGATGCACGAAATTCCCTCCAATGGAGTTTGAGTTGTCAGAAGGGCAGGTTCTGCAACAAAACACCGAGGAATGGAGGGGGAAGGGCTTGTATTGAGACAACCCCTTTGACCCCATTGTCGAGAGAGGAATGTAAGCCAGTTTTGAGCTGGCATAGGAACAACAACTGGCCTCCACTCTGAAACTGGCTAATAAACGATATTAAACAATACAGCCGAGGGCGTTCATGGATTTCGAGCTCTAATTGATGTGAAGAGCCACTCGTGCGTAGTGTCCCATTATTCTCCCGTTTATCCTCTTTTCTCTATCAAAAAGTACCAAGGATTTCCATCAATGGAATGTGGGGCATTTGCATGAGTGACGGTATTTTTTTTATCGAGGATTAATCCATCGAATCGGTGTAATCCTTTTCGATTAAAAGCGCTGTAGCGATTTGCATTGAAAGGAAATGCAATTATTTCAACTGATAAATTAAATCTCCAATTTTTCCCTCCAAGTGGAATGATTTTTTATCGTCCAAATTTGAGTTGTCAATTTTTTCAGTTCGTGCAAACAAATGGCCAGTAAAAATCCCGAATGAGGTAGAAAAAATAATGTAGTATTTGTTTGGTGAATACTTTTTTGTTCTCACATTTCAGACGCAAAACGTGAAATTCTGGGGAAATGGCGTATTTCTGCGGTACAATGTGGAGTGTAATTTTGGAGGACAGAAGTCAATATGCAAAGGACGAATGAAGGGGAATGATTTACAGGGGGTGCCCCCCCTCGCCCATCCCCTTTGTGAGAAGATCAATTCTGTTGCCCCCGGGGGTTACAAATGCTGAAGGGATGCGAATAAAGGGGAGGAAAAGGGAAGGCTCTTGCCAATACGTGATGCGGTGCATTGAAGTTACTCATGGTACATTCACGTTGTTAAAGTTATCCACTGTACCACAGACAGGTAATTAATTGCTCTTCTACGTGTAATCAAACTGAGTGAAGCAGATTACACGTGTGGTATAGTGGATTAATTACGAGGAAAACGAGTAAGCGATTTTCTCCACTAATGTCTCATCTTTCCTCTCGAGATAACTGGCTTCGTTTAATACTATTTTATTTCGTCGAGGCTGGAGATGAAATAACTTTCTCGTCTTTCAAAATGCTCGTTTGCTCTACGATCCATTGAACGAATAATAGAGAAAAAATTGATGAGCCAATTCAATTGGCTCATTAATTTTTTCATCGTGGTACTCCAGTAATCTCAAAAAACTGCAATTTCCCGAATTAATTCCACAATTTCCCTCTTCCTCATCCTCACCCTTTCATCCCCCGTTATTTGAAATCCCAAATATCGGAATACCCTCAGAAAGCCCTTTTGTTATTCAAATGTGTGCCGAGTGGCGCTTACCTCCAGCAACTCATTCAGCCCGAGACTGCAAAAGTAACAAAACTCAAAAAAAAAAACACCCTCTCCCACGGCGAAATCCCCCTCCAAAAAAAAAACCTCCGAAACAGGTACAGCAAGAGAACAAAAACAATTTGGCTCCCTCAGCTCGACCATTCACGATTCCCCCCTCACGGTTAAAAAAAAAAATCCTCTTTTTACCTCGCTTTATGTCGCCCCCACGGCGTGGAGTGCATGTGCTCTTGTAAATTCACGAACGGCGACAAGTGTCACCCCCTGCTCGGGTACACGCGGCACGTACCCTAAAGGTAGTGAAAAAATGCGCCAAAGAGGAGGGGGTTAAAACTGTCCAACAGAATCAGGTAGGCCACCCCCCATCAAAAAGAAAAAAATAAAGGAGAAAAACAACGATACCATCCCCGAAAAATAGTCCTCGACGGAGCCGGCAACGTCGCAAAATCTCCACCGGCACCTCGTGCACCCTCCCCGAACACTTTCAACTCGTGAACCTGCGCGCGCACACTCATCTACCCACATCTCCACACATTTACCCACACGATTGCAAAAAAAACAGTGTTCGGCTGCTGGTTGTGCTGCTGTTCTCGTACCGATGTAGAACCGGTCAATACTCCGGGCCAACGCGACGCGCGACGGCGCAGGACACAGGGGAAATACAACGAGAGTAAGAGAGAGAGCGGTGATGTGAAAATGTGGTGGATGACGTGAGGGTGGGAGAGGACAACACTTGGCCGCAGTGGTGGTGAGGGACGAGTGAGGAGGGGGTGGGTTCACCTCGTTGGCTGTGGGGGAATGTTGAGGAGAGAGGGGAGCGAATCTGCTGAGGGGGTTGAGAAGAGAGTGTGGGGAGGGATCAGGAGGGGGGCAGTTGTAGATCGGCTGCCAACTGATGGCGCGAGGCGCACGCAGGCACTTGGTAGTTTCGGAGCAGTTAGTAGTTCTCTCGGCGCCCGACTATAAAGTGCATCACAAGTAAAAGCGCGTTCGTGCCTCCTCCGCGGGGAGTAGCACCGCGGCTACAGCCACAGCCCGACGCCTCATTACAAAAAACACAATATTGACAAATTTGAATATTCGGCATTGTGAAAATGAGCCAGATTATTTGGACAGCAGTTTAATCGAGCTTTGAGCATATTGTGATTGTTATTCAATTCGCCGGGAGGCATGCACGTCAGTTGAGTGATGTGCTTCGTGCCATGTGAATGAACCACGACGCGAGTGATACGACTGTTGTGTTTTTGACACGAGGTGTTTCTTATTGAATTTTTGGTGGAGACGGGGTAAGAACGAGGTAGGGTGGAGTGGGGTGTAACAACGGTTCGGGTTGTATCAGGGGTACAGTGGAGTGTGTTTTTGTGATTTTTTTTCTTTCGGGGGGTTTTCACGTGTTTTGAGGAGTGAGTGAAACTACACATGGTTTTGACAACGTTACGCACCATGTGCGTCGGCTGACGGAACGTGGGACTCATTTTTCACTCGGTTTTTGAGGGAATTTTGGAGAGATGGACATCTGGATTCTAGCGGCCGTCGCCTTCATCGGTAGGTGTCAACAGATATTTGTTTTTGGTCATTCTTTGGAGCAATTTATTATTGATTCAAACATGCTGTAAAAGGAGGCGTGTTGGATTGAGTTTATCATGAATTTTTTTGGAAATATCTCTGGAGCTCGTCGAGATAGCGGGATCTTGTTAGACCCTTTTTGTAGCTCTCGATTAGTTATCGAAAAATGATATTGACACATATTTTTGTACCCCCTGTAGTTTCAGAGATATTCCTGGATTACTCGTTGAATCTCATAATTTCGGAATTCATTGAAGAGACCATTTGATTCGAAATATCCGTGTCAAATTGCGTTGTCAGGGATACACCCGAAATTTATAGTCAACGTGCGTTGACATTTGATTTAACATTCGTTGGATGTGAAAGAGATAATGCGTGGGTTGATGATATAATGAGGGGAAAGGGGAACCTTCCAAAAGCCCTTCGGTCGATACTGCCAGTTACTTGGGCAATTTCTTTATGTGTGTGCGCATGAAGGCACATACTTTACTCACTTACCCTGATGATACAATTCGGAAGCCAACTGGTAAAGTAAGATAGGTTGAGTTATCAATTATTCCTAACGAAAAGTAATGACTGAACGTCAGGAGATTTTATTTAACCCATTGACTCTCCAAGAAAATGTCTTCTCGCATCTTCTTCTAAAATCGATAGTTCAAAAAATCCATCGATATTTTATAAAAGCAATAGTTTTAGTTGAGATAGTTTTCTATTTCATATTCGGGCATTGAGGTTTCACCCAATTTTAAAATCCACCGATGGTTTTTACAAGCATCTGCGATACCGCCCTCATGTAATTACCACTGGTCTTCTTACATTAGATGAATTTCTTGCGGCACTCAAACCCACACAAACGCAGAACTTGTACATCTCCTCTATTCTGCCCCCTGGGCTCGTTTATTTCCACGCTACAAGTATTTTCCAAGACTTGCATTCCAACAGACTTTCAAATATATCAACATTTCAGGGTATATTTTTTTCGCCTTTTCCCGGAATTAATTCTGCACGTCGCCGCGATAAATGATTTCATGTGCAAAAATTTATTCAAATGAATATGATTATTTGTTATGAACAAATGACAATAATGCTACCACCAGAACTATTCAACTCCTGAATTCCATGAATAATTTTTCCTAATCAATCAACGGACTCGAATATTAAAAAAAAAATCCAAACATTTATGGGGTCATAAAACAATGTGGAAAAATCGCACTGGCTGTATTATTGAATGAGTAAAAAATGGAAACCCCCCGTCATCACAACGATTCGATAAAGAAATGACTTGTCCTGAAAGGAATCACCTCGTGAGGATACCTTATGCCAGAAGTTCCGTTATATCGTTACGATTCATGGAGTTAAAATACCAAGCTTAATCTTCACCCTGGCACAACACATGGGTGACTTAGATACACCTCACACAGGCATTATCATGTATCATCTTTCCTCTCAGCTCTTTCAGTCACGTCGTTGTTATATACCGTATACTCTATATTGTTAACCCCATTTCTAGCCTCGTAATTTCGATAAATCGATCTGCCTCTCGATAATCCTTCTATTTTAATACCAATTTTTTATCTGTACACATTTTCCCGGAAATTGCCGAGCGCATCCGGCGGATTGAGACATTAAAAATAATCCAATGAGACAATAAAACCAGACGCGTTAATATTAAATTGTCATTTTGGCGACATTCCAGGGGGTGGAATTAAAATCGTAATTAAGCGCCAACAAGAGCTTTATTTTATGGCGATTCACCGAGGATTTCCCGTGTGACACTCGGCAAAATCCGCCTGATTTTTTTTTCAACTCTTTCAGGAGGAAAAAGATAAACGATAACACGTCGGGTTGTTCTCTAGTTTCCACTTTTCAGGGTGTATCTCATGATCCATGAAAAATAGCGAATTCTTTGTATGAAACTTTTTACAGCAATCCTTTTCCCCGAGAAAATAAGTCCCGAGAAAAATTTCGGTATCTCTCTTCAATCCAGAGATATTCCTTGAAAACTCCCATAACAACTAAAATTGATTTGCTTACCTTTTTCCCTTGGTCCCCAAATCGTGACTATATCTCAAATAAAAATACCGTCAATATTCCACAACTCCATTCATCGTGAAAAATATTCATCATTCCGTGAATAAACACGACATTTTTGTGGCTCATCTCCATATTGACGTAATCTCCGTGAATTGGTTTCTAAGAAAAAAGCGCCGGAAGCTCCCATAAATTGAAGTATTAGCTTGTCGAGGAAATAAGGTCACATACAAGATCAATAATAAAGTAAGACGAGGACGCAGAGACTGTGGAAAGCCACGAATGTTGAAAAGGAAATAAAAAAATGGACATAAAAAGAGGGGCTCTTAATCAGCGTTTCCGTTTAAGAGGCACCGGTTCCCAAGGTGTGCCAACATTTCGCATATTTCGTTTCCTCTTGTGCACAATGGATTTGCACATATTCACCAGATGGATTGATGTCGGGTTGACGTCGGGTTGATGTTGGGTTGATGTCGTGTTGATGTCGAGGTAGCCGATATAAAACCTGGTGTCTGTCCAGCGTAATACAGTGATGCAGTTGATGCCTTCAATCTCGTCGTCACGTACAACACGTGGCGCCGCGGCTAATAACGAGATTCAGTGGTACGGCGACAGCATACCGCAGACACAAAACAAAGTAATCAGATAGCACTGTATAAATGCTAAATGTGGGAATAAAAAGGAATCGGCAATTCAGGGGATTCTTGGTATTCCTCGGAGATAAAAAAATCCCTTTTACCAAAAGCACAGCGCTATAATAGTAAGAATTAATGAATCAATAATTGTGGAATTAATATCCGTAGTATAATGATAATAAAATAAAAATTCTCGGGTATTTGACAAAGGGGTCGTAATTATTTGTCATTATTTATTTAGTACAAAGAAATTCATTTGGGTGTGAGTGAAATATTGAGTGACTTTGGAGCTGTAAGAAAAACCGTTTGAAAAGTGAAAAATAAATGGAGAATGGTGATTGGGAGGGGAAATACGGTGTATATAACAATGCGAAGTGCAATGGAGGGTTGGTGTACATAACAAAGTGGATGTCCCCTCATGATGTGTCGATAAAGGGCGCACTTTTCCAGTACTTTTCTAGTACAAAGGCCAGACGGTCCCAATTTTTCCCGGACTTTGAGTGGGCGTGGCGAAAACCTCGGTTAAAGCCCAAGTGGATGCACAACCGCATGTGTATATAAGGTATATTGTATCCACATATGTATTGAAGGTATACCGATCATGGATGGGGAAAGCCACCGTTGTCGAGTGGCTTCTCAAAACACAGGACCCCACTTTTGTTCATGTCTATGTACTGGTTTTGATGGTACACTACCCTTATGTCGCCAATACCGTTTTCATCGATTTTGACATCGAGAGGGGGGGAAGTCTATTGAAAATGAAGGACTGCCACGTGTAATATACGATTTATTGGTGAACACGAAACGCCTTCTTTTTTATTTATTTTTTTAAATCCATAACATCAATTTTCTTGAGTGCCCCAACGATCTCACAATTTTCATCTTAAATTCGGCTTGATAAATGGATAAACAGGAAAATTATTCTTGAGCTGGTGATAAATGTTGCGAGCGATTTGAGTTTTAAATTAATGCTGAAGCATCCGGATTTGGAGTATCCAAATCGACGGAAAGTCACGGAGTCGGTAGATTTTTCTAAAATCATCGCATCCGCTAGAAACTCGAGTTGGATAGAAAAAGAAAGAGAAGCGTTAGAAGAAAAAAAGAAAGAATTCCGGACAAAGTTGCCCCTCAAGTATAGGGAGAAGGAAGAAAAAACGAGGGAAGAATATGGGTGAAGAGATATAAGTTTTTGATGTGGAAAAAAGTCTGGAGAGCATGAGCCCTCGAGGAGAATTTTAGCCAGATATAAAATATATTACCCGCGGTATGAAAAACTCGTTCAATACTTTGTTCTCCAGGGGATTTTTATTATTTTTGTCGGGCATTTGCCGCAGGCTCGAAAACCCAATAAAAATAGTTTCCACCAATTGCGTGGGGGAGATTCTTCGGTCGGATAACTGAATACTGAGTGCGTAGATTTTCCGATCCATGGATTTTTCTATTTTTGTACCGGTGATAATTGTCTAAATAAGCGGAGTTGAAATAATGAGGAACAAAGATCCAGTTCCCACCGTTTTTTTTTCGAGTATTGATGGAAACCAGTCTTTTGCAATGAATAAAAAAAATTACCCCATGTGGCAAGCGTGAGAGAAGGCGGGGTCTCATAATTTTTTTTCCTGATTTCTTTTTTTTTTTTTTTCATTATGATACAGCCTTCGATGCCTCCAGGAAGGCCACTGGAATTCTCGGGTTCTCAGAAACCGTGAGTTCTCCTGAAAATCCCTCAATTACTATAATTTACTCGGAAAAAAATGGTTTACCCGTTCAATAGTTCAATTAACAAGTTAACTCGTTTCTGTGAGAGCTAAATAATCAATACGGTGTAATTTTGACAAATTAACAATTTTTCCAGTCATTATATTCAATGCAATTTTTCTGCATGCAATCAAGCTGGAATGGAATTTTTCATTTCAAATTAGAATCAATTGGATCTATGCAAAAATTTCTTTTTTCGTGGAACAATTCTGATGAATTCCTGCGACTCATTAATTTCCAATTCTCTCAGAGTGAAATCCCGTGGGAATAATTGAAGAGTGCCATTTACATTTGGCTCAACTTCCATTTGGCCACCTCTCATTCAATTTGAGATTTTCATTTCCAAAAAGCGGCGATCTTATCCCATTTCTCTCATCAATGCGGAACTTGAAATACATTCAGATACATTAATCTTTTTGCACTCTTGGAAAAAAGCCCACCCCTTTGATCCCCGAGGGTGGCTGTTCAGTCGAAAGAAACTTGAGAGAAAAAAAAATTGATTTATTCCCCGGGTTTTATTTCGCCCTCTCTTTTCATTTTCATTCTCGACAGTGAGTG